AGTTAACATATTCATTTAATATCCTGCTCTGAATATGTAAAGTTAACATATTCATTTAATATCCTGCTCTGAATAAGTAAAGTTAACATATTCATTTAATATCCTGCTCTGAATATGTAAAGTTAACATATTCATTTAATATCCTGCTCTGAATAAATAAAGTTAACATATTCATTTAATATCCTGCTCTGAATATGTAAAGTTAACATATTCATTTAATATCCTGCTCTGGATATGTAAAGTTAACATATTCATTTAATATCCTGCTCTGAATATGTAAAGTTAACATATTCATTTAATATCCTGCTCTGAATAAGTAAAGTTAACATATTCATTTAATATCCTGCTCTGAATAAGTAAAGTTAACATATTCATTTAATATCCTGCTCTGAATAAGTAAAGTTAACATATTCATTTAATATCCTGCTCTGAATAAGTAAAGTTAACATATTCATTTAATATCTTGCTCTGAATAAGTAAAGTTAACATATTCATTTTCAATATCCTGCTGCAAATAAACAAAAGAATGAAATGTAGAGGATGTTGCAAGGTTTATAAAAAAATATCATACAAACATTTACTACAAAAACACACTAGATTTAAACCAAGAATCATACTTCTCCACTGTTGGTATTACTAATGTTTCATCTTTATTCAAATTTAGAGTTCAATTCTTTTCTCTTTAAGAAACTGAAACATTTTAAATTCTGTGAAATACATGCTTGTACAATAATAGCATATTTATAATAATTTATAATTTTGGTGTTTAAGGTTTGATTGCTAGGTCCATTCTGTGAGCTGACAGTCAGGTAATTTAAAATTTATATCTCTCAGCCTGAATATGATTTTTAATGATAAATAACTTTCCTAAAATTAGCTCTAGTTCTCTTTACACTAAGTTTCTTTATCAAATTGTTGAATTTGCCCAAAGCTACTTAAGAGCTATCTGTGCTGGCTGTCCCTATTTTTGAAGTGACAGACTAGAGGGAAGGCAGCTAGTCAACACCCACTTTTGGATTACACTTTTACCAACATACAGTGGGATTGTATTTATTATATATACATTAGCATTAATTGCATTTATTATATATACATTATTACATTAGTATTAATTGCATTTATTATATATACATTATTACATTAGTATTAATTGCATTTATTATATATACATTATTACATTAGTATTAATTGCATTTATTATATATACATTATTACATTAGTATTAATTGCATTTATTATATATACATTATTACATTAGTATTAATTGCATTTATTATATATACATTATTACATT